AAAAATAATCAGCAGATTAATGCTTTTATCTTCTTTGGACTAAAGGCTGTACATAAAAGATGGCCTTGGGGTCTCAAAAGGGAGGCCAGTGTGGAAATGCCTTAAACTTGCATTGTCTTCAATTAGGAGAAGTTCAAAGTTCAAACTTTTTATGGGTTTCTGTGTTTACTGTACAGTCATAATAAGCCATCAGTTCAGTAAATGCTTGTGATGAGGTAAAAATGTGCATTTGAGTTTTAAATACCATAATTTTTTTTAAATTTATTGCTTAAAAATGTTTTGTGTAATTTATTTAGATTTTTCGGGGGGTGCCGAGGGTTCTGAGTTCTACCTTCTTCAATCAGGAGAAGCACTCCTCCTGATTAAAAGTCAGCACAGAAACCATCATAAATAAGTTTGAGGTAAGAGAATATGTAGTCCTGATTTAAATATCTGCACAACTCCTCTGTCGGTTTGTGAGTTGCCTTATAAGGAACACCAGCATTCAATAACACGGAGTTAAAGGTACTTTCAGTTGCTCTCTTATTTCCCACGGGGTCCCCCACAGTGGATAGATGAGCATGTTTGATATGGCACAGATTTTATGCCGGATGCCCGTCCTGATGCAAACCTCCTATTTGTAAAAAAATGATCTTATTCTCTGACCATCAGCGATCACAAATGAATACAGGAGAAAGCTACAAAGTAGTCAAAGTTGCAAATTACATCTTTAAAACCAAAATGAATCTGCTCTTTAAAGGAAGCACGGTGGAGAATCTATCCTGTATATTCATTAAGTAGTAAGAGAACAACCCAGATCCTTTGGTGTTGAGCTTGTGATACAGGCCCAGCTTTCTACAAACATCTTGTCAAGAGAGGGGTCGTGCATACAGCATCAAAAAGCATCGTGTCTGAAGCTCGGTCCAAAGCAGTCATACAAAGTTGAGAGGATTTAGTGGGCGAATTTTCAGATTAAAAAAATATCTTTGACGTCAAATCAGAGGATTGGACTCTGGAGCGAGATCACAGGAGAACTAGCTCTTCCTTGGCTAAGGACTATCATGCAGTCTGGCTCTTACCTGGGCCCAGCTCATCCATAGGTATCATATCACCACTGCCACATTTCCTGGTGCCTGAAAAGCATTCATAGGCCATTTGTACAAAAGCAGCACACACACAAACTGAGTCACTGAGCCAATGCTGATGCTGCTTTTCAGGGCGATGGTTCTCGGCCAGTGATTGAATAATGCAAACTGAGAGTGGGCAGACATGAGTGCCACGATTCATATGAATGTATGGATGCAAAAATAACGGAAAAAAACTGCTGCTATGTTGCTGACTCCTCTGTCAATGAGATGTTTGTTGTTGGGCCAACATACTTCACAAGTCCCCTTCCCACCCCCTTATATACACTGCTGTTACACAAAACCTCTATCGCAGCACCTTGCAGATGCAGCCGTACACGCTGGCTTAAAGTTGAGGACATTTCTTTATCCCTGACACC